GTCAAACGCGCTTAAAAAACATCTGGATTTATTTGTGAGAAACAGTGAATAAAATCCATTCCTTAATCGACTGTACTTCAGGTCCCTAGCAGCCTTGGAAAACATCAAAGACTTGACCAAAAGTTTTTCGAATACAACCATGCAGTTGCTAAAACAAACATGTTTACAAAAGAGCGAGAGATAATGCTACGTTGCTTGCTGGACCGAGGAGAATACATTATTGTCCCGTCGACGTACGAACCAAACCAACAAGCGGATTTTCTGCTTCGTATATTTGCAGAGAAATGCCACGATATCAAGTAAGTGTTGTTTTCTTATGTCCTAGTATCAAAGTAATCTCGCGATCGTTAGAAAAAGCACTACGCATGCTCTAACGAGGTGACCACTGTCTATTTCACATTCCCAGCGCTACGCATTCATTCATTCGTAAATCCACCGTGTCTTCGTACTATAAGTCCATCATTATCCCCGATTTCCAGGTACGTCCATTTTTCAAAAATGTCCAATCTCAGGAACTAACCGAATATTTATATATGATTTTTCAAATAAACAGAGAGGTTKATCAAAGAACAGAGCTGATTGGTTCAACTAGAGTAAGTAGCGGCCCATTCCTGCATCTGTGAAGGCTCTTTACAAATTTTATCTTATCTCTATAAGAGGCTCTAGGGATAACAGGCTGTATATTTACTGTGTATGATAGTGATGGAGCTAACCTAGTGTAACTGATAAAGTTATTCAACTAAAAAAATCGAACCTCCTCTGCCTTGTATTTCTGAACCGAAAGAATATACACTGCATGGTCACGCAAGGGCAATTACACCGTAACACCATTACAAAGTGACACGTAACTGTCACATCTGACTTTCATATCGATCTTTTTACACGATTTCAGGAARTGTTTCTCCCTTTCTGCGATCTGTGCACATAGKAACATTCATAAATGTTTTTATTTTTCAGCCAAAACTTTCCAATTTCGACCGAACAAAGTTCGAACAAACTTACCGGAAGTTCTTCTTGGACATCGCTKGTGAGGTGAGTACAACACTCGCCCGCAGAGCCTTGTCATTCTTACTACGCATGCGCCATTTCCTCGAGCATGCGCTGTAAGGATACTGGGCTCTAAGGCCATTACACGCACGCGTACAACCCATATTTTT